ATATCCTAATTTAAAACAAATGTCTCTACAGGCCACACTGTCCTACTCTATGTCCAGGCAATGCCAAATTTCACAGACGTAACAGAATTCATTCTTGTGGGGTTGACCAGTCGCCAAGAGCTCCAGGTTCTGTTTTTTGTGGTGTTTCTGGTGATTTACATGCTCACTCTGTTGGGGAATGTTGGTATGATCCTTTTGATTGGCATCAGCCCCCAGCTTCAGAGCCCAATGTACTTTTTCCTGAGTCATCTGTCTTTTGTGGACGTGTGGTGCTCCTCCAATGTTACCCCCAAGATGCTGGAAAACTTACTGTCGGAGACCAAGACCATTTCCTATGTGGGCTGCCTGGTGCAGTGCTACTTCTTCATCGCCCTTGTCCACGTCGAGGTCTACATCTTGGCCGTGATGGCCTTCGATCGCTACATGGCCATCTGCAACCCATTGATGTATGGCAGTAAAATGTCCAGGACTGTGTGCCTTCGGCTCATCTCTGTACCTTACATCTACGGATTCTCTGTGAGCTTAATATGCACACTGTGGACATATGGTTTGTATTTCTGCGGCAACTTTGAAATCAACCACTTTTACTGTGCAGACCCTCCCCTCATCAAGATTGCCTGCGGCGGGGTGCGCATCAAGGAGTACACCATGATTGTTATTGCTGGAATTAACTTCACGTACTCCCTCTCCGTGGTCCTCGTCTCCTACACGCTCATTGTGGTGGCTGTGCTCCGCATGCGCTCTGCCGACGGGAGAAAGAAGGCGTTCTCCACCTGCGGGTCGCACTTGACAGCTGTTTCCATGTTCTATGGGACGCTCATATTCATGTATCTCAGGAGGCCGACGGAGGAGTCCGTGGAGCAGGGGAAGATGGTGGCGGTGTTCTACACCACAGTGATCCCCATGCTGAACCCCATGATTTATAGTCTGAGGAATAAGGATGTTAAACAAGCGGTCACCAAAGCAGTGGCTAGGACATGCTCGGGGAAGTGATGTTGGGGTGTATGTTTCAGTGGCATGTTTGTCTCTGTGGTGGTGTGCTCAGCTGTCTTAGAGTTCCTATCCCAAAAAGCACTGTCTAAAGATAGCTCTTCCAAATGCTAAAATAGCAAAGTGCTGTTTTACCGCGGGAACACACTGTGCATATTATACATGCTTTGCTCAATAGCTGCTGTCATGGTAACATAACTGCCATCTATGAAATTGAATCAAAGCATTGTACAAATTAGATAAATGGTTGTTATTTTAGAAGTATTTTTTGGACTTGAATATTATTTCCTAGGAAATTTTTCTATGTGTACATTTTCTTATAGTAAGTTTCATGTGAAATGTGTATTTATTTTTGCAGAAAACATATTCATTTGTCTCCCATGACTGTAAACTTCATGAATTCAAATTACCTACAGTGTATTAAAATGTTTTTACGTAAGTGGATTTTTTGCAACAGAATTCAGTATGTTCAGGTCATATCTTTCTATGAGTGTAAGGTTTGTTCTCTGGATGAATTTTCAATTATTAATGATGTTTATGTTCGAGTACTTTGTTTTCTCACTTTAGCTCCTTGATTTGGATTTCTGTGTATATTGTTTGATGTTAAAAGTGTGAAGCATCTTGATCAAAAGACTTTCTGCTTTCATCATAATCAAAAGAAAATACTCAGTGGAATAAGTGCCTGCCTGGCAAGCACAAGATCCTGAGTCCAATCACTGGTACTGCAGAAAATGAATATGAATGATCTAATACTTAATGCATATTTTTTATCATGAAATATCATATTATACCTCTGGCAATGTGATTTGTAAATGATGTTTACTTCCAGACTTTCTTACTAACATTTTGCTCTTTGACTCCAAATTAGCAGCTCAAATTCAATTTTCAGTAGCCGTAAGTTATCGATCCTATAACTAAATGGCATTGCAGTGAGCAATGCATTTCAGCATTTTATTGCATTTAGGCCTGAATACAACCTAAGTGGTGAAACCTGCTGTGTCTAACTTCTTTAAGTTGGTGCAGGCTCACCTCCCTTGCTCTCTAATGTGTTCTTGTTACAGGAAAAATCACATTTACATCCCTTTCTATAACTCTTGCTCACCTAACAGGAAAAAGCTGGAGGGGAAATAGATGTGCTTGTGAAAATTGAATCCATTCTCAGATAACTGTTCATCCAACTAAAAGGAATGGATAACTGAGTTAGTGCAGAATGAAGCCAAGAAGTAACACAAGTAATGATGGGGCCTCGGATAAGTTGCGTTCTTGGAAGCACAATGAGATGCATTCCTTCCAGTTAGCAACAGGCCATTGCCCAGACAGTTTAGAAAGTGTCCGAGGAAGTGGAGGCAGAGGGTATATACCTACACACTTTCAGTCTGATCATAGAATAGAAGGATATGATTGCTTTCTATTGCAATGGAGTTCTCAATGCTTGCTTCTCAAAGTTTAGGCTGAAATAGTAAAACATGGGCCACTGAAGTGCCACCTGCTTCCACAGAACTTGCACTGTAGCCTGACATTCTAACACCATTGTCTCAGTTACTCTTCTTTCCTTGCAGTGACAAATACCTGACAGCCAAACCAAAGGAAGGAAAGGTGTAGTTGGCTCATAGTTAGTGAGGGTTTCAGTCCATATTCAGCTGACTCCAAGGCAGAGTGGCACATGGCAGAGAGCAACCTTTCATGGCTTCAGCAAAGAGCAAGAGAGCAAAGGGAGAATCAACAGCTTTGGCTGATAGCAAGCCTCTCTCACCTTGTCGTGCAAATTTTCCACCCTACTCCCAGTCGGTAGCACTCACAATTGTAACTTCAGAATTGGGTGTAGAATCAATGACAAACTTGAGAAGCCACCCCATAATTGCATGAGGCTTTGGGGGACAATGAGATAAACCATAACATTCTGCTCCATAGCCCCTCCTCCCCCCAAGACTCATGTACACCCTGTACTGGTTGATATACTGTGTCAATTTGAGAAGTTTAGAAGTTTAATTAAGTGACTCAGCAGAGATCCAGGATTCTTAGTTTGTAAACATCTTCATCCTGTGTAAGAGGAAGGCATGGACATTGTGTGAGTTCTACACCCCCAGTCCCAGGGTAGCTTGCTGTTCATAATAAAAGGAGGGAAGAGTGGCTGGCTAGAAGCCACAGCTGTTGCCCTTCCCTTTGTTCTTCACTGCTTTCTGCTGCTATGAACTGCTGCTCTCTGCCATGTGCCACTCTGCCTGGGATTCAGCTGAGTATAGAATGAAATCTCCACAAACCGTGGACTAGATAAACCTTTCCTTTCTTAATTATGGGTGTCAGGGATTTTGTTCCAGAAATGAGTGAAAAATAAATGAGGCACACCCCTTTTGCAAAATCAATTTTAGTTCATCCCTAAAAGCTGCCAAAGTCTTATCAGTTTCAGCATTGCAGAAAAGTCCAAGTCCCAAGTCTCCACCAAGATGTAAGGCAAATTCTTAGCTGTGAGCCTTTGTACAAATGAAAAGCTAGATACTTCCAACATTCAGTGGCACAAGAAAAACTACCAATCCAAAAGGTACAGAATACAAACAGGGACCAAAGCAAGTCCAAAATCCAGAAGAGAGAACATTAAGTTCTGTAGTTCCATGCAGAATATCCAAAGCAATCTGGCAAATTGTGAGCTCCATGTGGCTTCACCCTTGTGACACTCTTGGTGGTATTTTCCATGGCTTCTCTCTTAGGCTGGCTTTGCTCCCTCCTTGCAGTTTCTCTTAGGTGATCCACATTCCTGGCTTTTTCAAACTTTGGGGGTTTTCACTGCATGCTAAGCTTCTTACTCTTTGCTTCATGCACTACCTGCTCAGGAGCACACTGCCTGGCCTGCCAGGCCTTCTAAATCGAGGTGGAAGTCTTCTTAACCCAAGAACTCTTTTATTCGGCCTGTGTCTAAAACCAACACCATGTGGATGTGAAGGTTTGCTGCCAGCTGGAGCAGCAGCCAGATTTCCATCTTTCTTGCCTGTAGGGGTCGAGTGCCTGGATCACTGAGCACTATGACACTGATTCCAAGGAACAAATTCTCTATGATGCCATTCTGGAACTTAGTGTGGCTATCATCACCATTCTGGAACATGGTTCTCTGTGGCTTTCTCCTCAAAGCAAAGTCTTTCACCCTTGAAGTTCTGAGGCTGCAAAGGGTGGAGCCCTGTCCCATCCTGTGATGCCCCTAGGCCATCCTTTTCATTCTCTGGTTCCTTTCCAACAATGGAGATCCTCTTAGCTCTATCTGCAGCTCACAACTTTATTGGAGCTTCCTTTCTGGACAGACTCACAATATTTTAAATCATCCTTCTGAGCTCACTGCTCCTGATTATCCACATAAATCTAACTAGAAGCTCCCAATAATATACATGACATTGCATCAATGTTCAACATTTGATTGTTTTGACATTTGCTTTGTCAGATGAACAGTCCACCATGCTTAATCTCAGTCTCAGGCAAAGTCTTTGAACACAAGCAAAATGTTGGCAAACTTTCTGCAAAGCCATGCCACATATCATCTGGAGTCCCACAAACAATGCAGTCCTTCCAAGAAGGAACTTCCCCTGCCTGGTCTTTGCAGGCAGGATTTCTATCAGCGTTCTGGTCTTATGAGTTCTGACCAGAATCTCCCATACAGAACAGCTGACAGCACTCTAGCTCTTCTGTTTAGGTGAACTCTCCAAATCTTTTCTATCTCTTCTCATAAACCATTTCCAAAGGCTTGCAATCCATACGGTCAGGTTTAGTCATAGCAACAATCCCACTTCTGGTACCAAAGTCTGTCTCTGTTACTCTTCTCTCATTGCCGGGACAAATACCTGACACCCAAATGAAGGAAGGAAAGGTCTATTTACTCACAATATTGGAGGTTTCAGTCCATACTCAGCTGACTCCAAGGCAGAGTGGCACACGGCAGAAAGCAACCTTTCAGTAACAGCATTGAGCAAGACAGCAAAGGGAGAAGCAGCAGGTTTGCCTGATAACTATCCTCTTTCATCTCTTTCATTGTAATGCAAATTATAGCTCTCACACCTGCAATCCCAGCATTGGATCAAGAATCAATGACAGACTCGAGAAGCCACCCCACGACTGCATGAGGCTTTGGAGAGACAACTAGACACAAGCCATAACAACTATGTTGCTGTGATGTTCACGGCAGAGATATTATTCAGACTCCGCTACCGTATTTACTTATTTATTTATTTTGCTTTATAAACAAAACACTGGCAGTATAGTGTTTAATCTTAACTTTTGCTTTTTTCTGTTGCCAAGGTATGAATTTTGTCCTAAGCTTTAGTAATTTGCTCCCACTGACACTTATATCTAATATTTTTGGCTTGCTTTCTCAAAGTCAAAGCCAATAGACATAAACTTTCTCCTCTCCTTCAAAAGTGTTTCCCACGCTTTGGATAAAGATCTTAAGTTTATATAGAGGAGACTTCACATTACTCCAGTCACTGTATCATTAGACAGTAATATAATTCTTCCTTACTAAATCAATGTATTTAGAGGTCTAATAAGTACTAATCAAGGTAACTTATTCCTAGATTCTATTGTTTCTTAATAGTTTCCGTAAACATATATCTGAGCATCTCAACTACAACTTCCCATGGAAAATTATATATATTTTTATTTTAAAGAGAAAAATAAATAGTAAAAATCATATAGAATTTTAAAATAAGATGACACAAAATTCACAATGGTTGTTATGTTGCATATTATTATTTTCCAAATAGTTGCTCAGATTACCACATACAGGAATACAAAATTTATCAAACAATATAAGCACTAACTGTTCCTTTCAATGAATGCAAATTACGACCATTATCATATATATACATATATTCCTTATTTCCTTTCTTCTTTTCTCCCTTCACATTTGGGTCTGATTTAATTAGCTTCTCTCTTTTGCTTCTCCACTTACATTGCTGGCCTTGTCGTGGCCTACAAGTGTCAGGTTACTTGCTTATGATTTAATCCTCTTGGTCCCTACTGCC